GATCTAACCACCTACCAAAAAATGACTTCTCAAGACACCATGTACTTGGAAGAGCCACAGCTGCAAACCCACACCATATCTCTCCCACCACGATGCCATTTTCTGATGAATTATCCACACTCTAATCCTTTCTGTAGCCTGCCAGCCCCTGCCTGCAGCTTGACTTCCACCATTTTGATACATTTTGCGTGCCCCATTACTGCCCCAGCAGCGTGGTTATGCATTGGTCCTAAGTAAATCTTTGTTGATCAGCTGATAGAGCCAAGGAAGAGTTCACAACACACATACAGATCATGTTACCTATCAGTTTAAAGTCCTTCAGTGGATCCTATGCCTTTAGGATAAAACTCAGTTCATCAACTCTTTTCTAGTCTCACCTGCATCCCAAAGCCTTACCATTCTATCTGAAATGGTTAGCAGTGCTCTTGGCAAGGTGTCTGCTAAGTGTAATGGTTGAGGATCCTTTCTGGTGCTGGAGCTGGATGTAATGTGGTCATCCCCCAAACTCAGCCATGGGGTTCTATAACCTGGAAGGGTCCACACTGACCCTTTCTCTGCTGCGGTTTCCTCCTCGAGATAACCGGGTCCATGCTACTTATTTGTTGTCGTGAGAGTGTGTGATTGTATGTTCAACACCTAAACCAGCACCTAGAACAAGCAAATCCTTCATAACTGTTACCGTGGAATTACAGTCAAAACATGATGATATGATGCTGCCTTCTGCCTGCCACACTGTTCTTCACTTTTGCCTGACAAATGTGCCCCTTCTTTTGTCTTGGGCCCTACAGCATGACTTCTCTGAAGCCATTGCAGCTATGGGTTGGAAGCATTCGCAAGGAGCTAGTGTGTGGTTTTAAAATCCAGGTTCTGCTGTTCCCTCTTTTACTCTTGAATGAAGACTTACTTAAGTATAAAATTAGGAATAGGGTATGAGGTGGGAGGTAGGGCAGGGAGGCAGCAGAAAGGCACGGAGTGTGAAGGGAATTAACCCAAACTAAGTTTTATCAAATACCACAGGGAAACCTGTTACCTTGTGTGCTAATTAAAACATTAGAAATAAAAAGATAAAGTTAAAACTTAAAACAAAATATATGCATCATTAGAATTGTCAGGAAAAAAACTAGGTCATTTGTAAAACTGTCCATTAAATTCTTCATTTGTCTTTGGTTTTGGTTTTCTTAGCAGCCTTTCTTAACTTTTTCAAGGACTTGCTGACTGTGATGGAAAAGCCTGTTCTCCTAGCACTTAGGAAATGGAGGCAGAAGGATTGGGAATTGAAGGTCATTCTTAGCTGCCTATCTAGTTTGAGGCCAGCCTGGACTACATAAGACCCTGTCACAAATGAACAAAACAAACAGAATTAGACAAGATATTATCATAATTCCTTTATATGTTTCTTGTGGCCTCTTGGGCAGGAAGTTAAGTTAAAGACAAGGTCTTTCTCATTGTCCTGTTGGAAACACCAACACAGCATTAGTCACTGAGCTCCAGCACAGCTTGGCTTGGCCCTAACCCTTGGCAGTCAACGCTAGAAGGTTTCTTAGAGGCCTGTGACAGGGAGAGAGATTGTAAAGGAATCCTTCCTGTCTTTATTTGGAAAAGACTGAAGATTGAACTTTAACTGGTGCCACAATGCTTTATTTGGCACCAGAAAAATAAGAATAAAAGCCTGGACCAGAGGACCAGGATTGGACAGCCAAGATACAACCCAGTCTTTCCCATAGGACCAACTGCATCACCAAGTTTCTTCAACATGGGGTTCATTTATCGTTCAAGAACAACCTGCTTTAAAGCTCTGGCTGGTTACCACAGTAGAAATACTCGTCACAGTATTTCAAGCTATTACTCTAATGTCAAGCAGCTGCCACAGTTCCTCACAGTGGCCCACCTGTCCATAACAAGCTGACTCCAGCACACTCCTGTTTGGAATTCTTCTGTCAGTTTTCCCTCCTGCATAATGGAAGTCCTGTCATCTCCAATTGTGAATAAGTTTGGAGGAGATCTGATAGACCCTAGAATTGTGGGTGCTGTAACAGTGCCCGCTTACTCACCTGGATTCTGAAACTCTTTACCGGGGACACAGAGGTTCTCTTTTGGGGTTCTTGGTCTCATTAATAAAAGAATTTAAAAACAGACTCAGAAGGAGGCGCAAAGACAATTTATTAAATTTTATTCAAGTGTCAGAGGAAAATTGAAGTGTAGGTTAGGTGAAAATCCCGGCTATAGGAGAAAATATGGAGGAAAAATCAAGTTCTCTAAGTCAGACATGGAGTATATTTAAAGCACTCCCAAGGATGGAAGAGTGTAATGAGCTGAGAAAAGAGCCCCCAATCATCCTGCCGGTGCAGCGGCCCTGCGATCTTTCATAGCCCCTCCCTCTGCATCTTGGTGCATGTTCTGCTTGCTGGATGATCCCGGGTCAAGTGGAGGCTCGTTGATTTCCTCTGAACACTGGCTTCTTCCATGCTAACCATGCAGCTGCTTCCTTCCGTTCCTGATCCCTGGTCACAGCTCATACAGCCAGCGTTAGAGCCCCGGATCCTCATGCCTCTCAAAATGCAGTCATGGGGTTCTGCTTAGAGCTGTATATTTTGTTTGATTCTCCCAATCAGGCTTATGCTTTCTGCAACATACTGATTCAATTACCCAATCATTCTGGGGTCCAATTGTGAGTCAATTCTTGGGTTGTTAAGCAAAATGAGTGGTGTTAGCCTGTACAGAAGGACTGTAATCCCCATCACAGTGTCATTAGTTAAGAGTATGCTCTAGAGACTCAGAGTCCCGTCCGAGAGTGAGTGGACAGGAGGGGCCTCCAGGTTCGGCCACCAGTCATCCAGGTTCTTTGAAGAGCTGTTTGAGCTGGAGTTGGGCTTTGCTGAGTTAGAAACCCAGGGCCAGTAGAGCATTATTTTCATGGCCAGGAATTTTTTTTTTTTTCTGAAATTAACACTCCATTCAAGCTGAATGCCATTTGATCCAGTTGAGTAAGCCTGAGGTATCTTTAGAGATTTCCTGCAGAAAAGAAATAACTTCAGCCAGACTATAGAAATAGCCAGCAGTTTTATGCCATTCCATGTGTTTAGTACAAGGTCGAGGGCGCCAGCAAGGCCTTGGGTGTGTTTGTGGTCCAGGTGTTCACCCATTCAGAGTCTCATCAAGCGGGGGAGGGTGGTGTGTAGAGCACTTAGCTTACCCTGCAGCCCTGCTCCAGACATGTGCTGAGAGGCTTTCCAGGGAGTGTTGGTGCTGTGTAGAAAAATGAAGCAGATGCCAACAGCTGTCCTGAGACCCCTTGCAATGAGCCCACCACCCAGAATGCAGAGCCCCTGCATAGTACTGTGAGCTGTGACCACTGGCAAGGCCTTTGGATGCCTTCTCTAGTTGAAATGGTAGGAAAGACCCAGGCATAGTAGCTCATGCCTATGATCCTAGTACTTGGGAGGCTGAGGCAGGTGAATTACACATTTGAGGACAGCCTTGACTATATAGCAAGACCTTATTTCAAACATAAGACAAACCCCACCACGCCCCCACCCCCAAACCTAGAAGAAATTGGGCCTTTACAAACCTTTTAACTCCTGCAGTCCTGCTCAGCCCGGTGCAGGAAACTTGGGCTTGCTGGAATCCTAGATCAAGCTAAACAAATTATAGTTTCTCTTGTGGAAAGAAGTAGAATCAGAGCTGGGCATGTCAACAGCCAACAGAATGAGAGGCTCATTGCTGGATAACTTACATCTCCACGGTCATTGTGTTCTCCTATAGAAGCCGGACTGCTGTCTGCCAAGATGACCTCACAGGAGGCCACTTCTTATTCAGGGTTTCTCCAACAATATCTCCTGAAGATCCTAAAACAGTCCCATGGCAAAAACAAGCCCTGTTCCTCCCCAGAACAGTGAGTCCATCGCTTCCTTTCACTTCTGTGTCTCTACAGCTCCACCACCACTCAGGGCTTCCTGATGAATCATGCTTACCTCTGCAGAGCTCTGGGAATGCTAACATCCACGTCTTGGCTAAGGGACCCTGTAGACAAGGCCAGCTTCAGGCCTGCTATGTCCACAGAGAGCCTCACCCACCCCTCTTGATTTTCCCTTTACTCCCAGAAAAACCAGCTCTTTACTGGCATGGGGCTAGGGACATCACTGTGCCTGGGTTGGGGGATGAGAAAAGACTCAAGAGACAAAGATATGCATTTTTCAAGGCTCTAGAAATTATGGGAGCAGATGGGCTGTAGGATCCAATTTTGATGCCAGGAACATGTTTCTGTATAAAGTAAATATTTTCCCACTGTGGATCTCCGGTGAGCGTGTGGAGAAGCATATTTCCTAAAGATGCAAATAAGTCTAGTCAGAAATAAATATTGAATGGAAACTTCAAAGCCTCTAGATTTCTGCAGTTATAGACCCTGAAGACTTCTGTCCAAACAAGCAGACACACACAGGTTGATGAAGGCTTGGGGCGGGGCAGGTGGAAGGTTGAATAAAGGAAGGATACACCCATATCTTTGTGTTCTCTCTCTCTCTCTCTCTTGCTCTCTCACTCTGTGGGGGGGCAGGGTGAGGGAGAGAGCAAGCAAGCATAAAGAGGCATATTGACAAAGGAACTGCTGTTATGTCTGGCCAAAGACTGTTTTTTTTCTCTCTTCATATATATCTTGTATTTGTCGTAGACACATAATATATCATACATATTTATGGGCTGTGGAGGTGACATTTCAATACATGTGCATATGCATGTGTAATGATTTGGCTAATTGGCAGGTTCATTACTCCAGAAATGTATCATGTCGTTGTAGTGGGAACATCCAGATTCCTCTCTACTAATGGTTTTGAAGTCACAATTAAGTGTCAGCAACCACAGTGGCCTCCTGTGCTGTGAAGCATGGGAGTTCGATCCTCTGGCCAGCCACACCCTGAGCCTGTTACCAGCATCTCCCCACACCCCTCCTTTCAATTCAGAGGCCTGGAGTGTTTTCAATGTACCAACACTGCTTTCTGTTGCAGATCTCGCCTTGCAGATTTTTTTACCAACTGCCAGCCAGAGTCAAGGTCGGTCAGCAGCTGTCTGAAGGAGAACTATGCAGACTGCCTCCTGGCCTACTCAGGACTGATTGGTGAGACCAGGGGAAGGGGCAGGGGTACTCTGGATTACAGACCTGTCTACTGTAGCAAGCGATGTCTGCACTTTGAAGACAAGTTTGAAAAAGGAAAAACGGAAGGAGGGAGGGAGGGAATGGATGCAGGAGAAAGGAGAAATCGAGTAATTGTGGAACAGGAAGGCTACAGATTCTAAAGGGAGGGAAGCATCTCCATTGGGGAACTGGCCACACAGAACATGGCTGTTCGAAGAAGAGAGCAAGTCAAACACAGTTAATTAAATAAGGGAACTTTGGAGAACTTTGGAGCTTGGAAGTCATAAAAGCTGTTTCCAAGAAATGGCCCTTTGGAAGTGAGTTGCCCAGTACCATGGAGCTTCCTGCCCTGATTGTTCTTGGTCACTTGACTCTGATGTACAGGGGATTGTTTAAGGCTATTTTTTCTGTAACTAACCATTTGACAGTAGAAACAGTGTTTTCTAGTTTGGGAGGCCTGTGGCACTAGGAGACCCATATTCTCAGTATTGAAGAGAATAGTGAAATTAAACAAGACCCCTGTGTATGGGGAAAAATCCAGAAAGAGGCAGACTTACATCTGGGGTGAATAGAGCTGGCAGGAAGAAAGGCAGCTGTCCCCATGTACCAGGGATTGCCGAAGCTTCCCTGTCAGGGCTCCATCACAGTTGGCATTTGAGAAGGAACATTGAAGAATGTGAAAGGCAAGAGAAATCACTGCTGTCATGCAGCCCTGGCTCGGTGGCATCTCCCTGCCAGGGCCCATGTCAGAGTCGTACACACCGCCAACAGGAACTACCCCCCCCCCCCCCATCTAGAATGAGAGCATAGGCTAACCTCATCTTCAGAGTGTCTTCAGTGAGAGCCTTTGGTTTAAGTAAGAGAGTGTTTAGTGCAAAGCTATTTCTAGTTCTTGACACCCCAGCCACTCCCAACTTTTTAAAGGACGCCTGTGCTCCCACGTGTTATACTTGTAATAAAACTGTCACAGTTCCTCCAGGTATGCACCATTTCTGTGGCTCTAGCCAATGAGTGTACACGCCCTCCGTATTCATGCTCTCCTTAATGAAGGTCTTAGTCTCTACCTGGGATTGCATATGAAATGATGGGATTGCAGAAATAACAAAAGCAATTAAGGCATCCTCACTGTTTAAAAAGGAAAAATAAAACCAGGGATGCTCCCAGAAGACAACGTTAAGTCTCTGCAGATGCAATCACTGTTAGCACTTCAGTCTGTGTCCTTCCAGGAGTTCATGCTCATTAACTCCCCTGTGAGCAGCCAAGGAGAGGTACTGCCAGCATTCCTGTGAGATCATTCCTAGGCTTGGCAAAGCCTTTTGTGCCTGAGCATGATGAAATGGAAGGAACAAATGGTAGATGGAGTGTGTTGTGCAGGCCAAGAAATATTTCTCTCCTGGGACTGGGTCTCTTCTACGTGGTTTCCTGAGCCAGTGGTGCCTATGGTGCCTAACTTATGCACAAAGTTTGTTTCTGCCTTCCCACGTGTTAGGGATCCACAGTAGACTCAGAGGTGCATTGGTCTTGATTTCCTCATTCTGTACCAGTGCCTGATGAGTTAGACCTCCCTGTATGGTGCAGATTAAATGCTCATGCTAATAATGAGATTCAAGTTCAAAAAAGTAAGACCAGTAGGGCAATGACAATATGTCCTTGACCCCAGAAGAGCTTCCAAAAACTGTTCTGTTTATAGCCAAACTCATCCTCTGGATTGCTGACTGATTTCTTCTTCCTTCATAAAAGCAACTAAAAACAGAAAGTTCTTGGCATCCATGGGCATTGCCTGGTGTGAGCCACCCAGGAGAAGACATTTGGGTCGTATTAAATATAAATGCATTGTCTATTTCTCCCAGTGGCGGACTCGCCAGAAAAGCCACAAGTCATGAGCAGGAAGGCCCACACAGCAGCTCTGTGGGAACTGCTGTGGATCCACAGACAATACTTTAAGAGTCCTTGACTGGGGAAGTTCCACTGTTTTTTCCTTTTTATTCTTTCTTCTTTTGATAGGGTCTCATGTAGCTAAGGATGACCTTGAACTCCTGATCCTCCTGCCTCCATCTCCCAAGTGCTGGGATTACAGGTATACACCACCAAACCTGGCTCATGGTGACTGCACTTCAGGCAGGCTCAACAAGACAAGCAATCTACCAGCTGAGCTGCATCCCCAACCCCATTTCCATTTCTTTCACACCTTAGATGAGTTTATTTAAATCAGTTGAGGATCTGGGAAAGGAAGCCTCTTTATTTACATCTGTAGACATTCAGGCTCTGGGGACCGTATTGGAGGCGTCTGTGTTTCCCTGTGTTACCCTAAAGAAACCATTTGCCTCTGAGGAAACTGGATTAAAAGCCTTAAAAGAATTCTTAAGTTATGTGCACCCAGTACTATTTATGAAGATTAATGACATTTTCAAGAAAATGCAAGGGATTTGGCAACTCATACATTCTAAGTTAATCTCACCTTCTCCATGACATCCATACATTTGTGCAGGAAGAAAATACCCTAAATACAGCCCAAGGAGTTTGCTTTTAATTTTTAAAGTAAATGTATAAATTATTTTATGTGCTCGAGATAAATTGCCAAGAAAATGCACCGCTTAACTTAATTTCCCACCCGGCAAACACAGCCTTTGCAATTAGCTGTGGTATTTCTACCGTCAGACCAACATTTGTTTCTTTTTAGGCCACAGAAAAGTCCATGTCAGCACAGGAGGACAACTGCCTTGTCTCTCTCTCTTTCAGGCACGGTCATGACCCCCAACTACATAGACTCCAGCAGCCTCAGTGTGGCCCCGTGGTGTGACTGCAGCAACAGTGGCAACGATCTGGAGGAGTGCTTGAAGTTTCTGAATTTTTTTAAGGACAATACGTGTCTCAGTGAGTTTTTAAAAAATAAGAAGCATGCCAACGCATACATGTTTTCCTCTTTGAGCTAAAGCACTCTGTTCTGTTCCTCCATCCCCTCTCCCCCTCCCTCCCTCCCCTTTCCTGGTAGCTGGTGGTAACTCTTGCTTCTTTTGGCACACTCAGTGACATGGCAGGGCATCTCACAAGTGATGAGCTGGGTGCTGCCAAGACTGTGCTCCCAAAGGCCTATGAGGATGAGAGATTCAAATAACTGAGGGTGTATTATGTGGAAAGAGAAATTCTACTCACAGATCAAATTTTGATCTTGGCAGCCAGTGTAGAGTCCATTCCCAAGTTCTGAAAACCTGGTAGGAATGTGCAATGTGAAAAGCTCAAACAAAGTGGATAGGACAGCCTCCAAGGACTGCGGGGAAATTAGAATGTTGATATCAACAGCCCCTCGCATTGTGAGGACTGGCTCCGAGTAGAAGCAATGGATCTGTCTTGGTGGGGGAATCTGGCATTGTGGTGGGTACACTCAGGATGTGGGTTATCTTGGGATCTGAGCTGAGCCTTTGTGAGCAGGGTGCTCTTCTTGGGGAACAGGACTGGTTACTGTTGTACTCTGTAGGCAATTTAGAATCATGTTTGACAAAGGGATTGGGATATACAGATGTGAACCTGGGCATCCATCAGCAAAACTTAAAAAGTAGGACACTAGGTCTCCCTCGCACACAACTCCACGATGGGTGAGCGTGCTCTGGATGACTCTCCAGATAAGACACAACTCCTGTTGTAGGGAGTGTAGAGTTCATGTAATTTCATTTTCTGTACTCCACACAAGCTACATGAGATCCCTAGGAGATACGGGTATCATATCCATGTCACAGCTGAGTAAAAGAGGAATATTCTCATGGACCTGGAGTGGTAGAGTTATGATATAAAGCTTCAATCCTTGTGCAGGCCCCTGCCTCGCAAAGACCTTGTTTGTGGCTGGTATTGAAGGAGCTACTGTTAGAAGCATAATCCTGAACATCAGGTTCAGCCATCCCCCTGAAGAACTCTGTCCTCAAGTGATAAATTCTGCATGATGCTATATGCTTACTGGCTTTTGAAGAATTAGCTGGTAATTTACCAACTTTTTGGAAAATACCTCATGGACATTTCACTAAAATTTCTACATCCATTTCCTCCATTGAAAAGTAAAACCCAACTTGCTTGGTAGGTGCTTCAAACAATGCAATTGGAATGCCTTAGTCTGGTTCTCCTAAAAATAAAATGATCTTTTGAGTTGTTAGGTTGCATTCAGACCCACAAAATGTGCCGTGAATGTGGAAGCATTTGCTGAGACATTGGGTGTGCCAACATGTTAGAGTTGGACCCCTTGTTTAGGCTTCATTTTATGCATTGTTTTTATTTCTGCTTCTTGTACTCTTCTGGTTGAATGCAAGTTTAAGCAAAAATAAAGCAATGGAAAATTTGTTCCTCAGAGAGAAATTAAAGTTGTCTCTCTTTGGCAACATTTCGGTAGAGAATAGTCTTATTAATGACTTCTAAATAAAAACAAATGCCAAAGGCAGCCAACAGCTTTCATAATCGTTCCATTTATCCTGGTTTGGATGGGGCAGAGGACCGAAATTCAGTGTCTTACACAAGGGCCTGACCTAGAAGCTATTACTGTTTTTTGAATGTGACTTCTATGTAGAAACTGTGTTCTTCCTTCTTCCAATTAAGCCAGACTTCTCTCAAATCTGTCTACCCTGAACACAACTGCAACCAGTTGTTTGGCTATAGTTTGGGAATGGGAGATGGTCGTTTTAGAGCCGATTCATGGCACATAGGTATATAGGGATGAGAGAAGACTAAGGTTAAGGAGGGGGTGAGAGAGGACGTGTGTCGGGAAAGCAGATGCACCCTCCTCCTGGGGGCCTCCCTGAGCCACTTTATCTAGACACCAGCCTCCTTTCTCCAGCATTCCTCATGCCCTCCTGGCTTCATTGTCTCTTAGCATTTACCATCACCCATGTGTGGAAGCTTCTGCTTTTTCGCCTTCCTGGCCAGAAGTTCTGCTTGTGGGTATGGCTTTGGTCTTACTTTGCTGTCACTGCTGTTCAAGACCTCATGCTTAGTACATGGAGCCACACCTGGAATTTAGTAGTTAGATCTGTAACCTTGCAGCGAATGAAGAAGAGAGTAACTGAACTGAAGGGGTGAGGTCAGCACACCTGGGAAAGAAGGGTCGTCTTCACAAACGGCAACTTTCTGTGGTGCGTTGTTCGCGTCCTGAGGTCACTTAGGCAACCTGGTCTACAGGTTCGCCCTTCTCGACGCTCTGTGTAGCACTTAAAGCACAGTCCCTCGGTAGAACCATGCGTTGCTGCGTTTGTATGTTTGGAAGCTGCCTCTCACATATCCTCCAAAACGTAGATGCATAGAAAACAAGCTTCCAATTTTGCTAAACTTGAAGGATAACAATTTTGAGACAAAATGTCACTTCTAAGGGGAAGATTAGGCTTCAGTTATTCTGTCTTGTATATCGAAAAGTGCCAAGTAAGCATCATATATTAGCAATTTGCACTTTCAGGTCCCAAATGAAGGAGTTTGATTTCTTATACAATGAATATGAAATAAAAAAATTCCTAAATCCAGGGTAAATCCCCGAAGACCTGATTAAAAACTGTTTTTTATTCATTTTGGGAAGGGAACAACACACAACCAATTTACTCTTGCCATAAAAACAATCTAATCCCATGAAATTATAATAAGCTTTGAAAGTTTCACGTTTCGAACTTTTCATTTAGACAGGGCTGTGCCTATCTAATTATGCAGATTCTGTTTGGAAGACGGGAAGCAGAAAGGAGAAAAATAATCACACTTAAATTTTCAGTAGATATCGATGAGGTTTAAGGCAGATTTTTCTTCTGAAGAAACTGACTGCAGTTTGCTGCCTGGGAGTGTTTGGGCTGCCTCAGCTTCCGGGCAGAGAAAACGACACCAGTTCATTTCCATTCAGTGTAGAATTCTGACACAGCATAGGTATTTCGTTTTTCTTGGGAAAGTGATGTAGCTATGATGCTACTTCTGAGTTTGAGGATGTCTTTCAAAGGGCTCCATAATAGATACTTGCTTTATGTATAGTATAGTAAGTGTCTCGCTCAGTGTTGGGTTGATTTTTGAGCACCTGACTTAAGAGATTGGCTCTCAGAACCAATAATTGGATGGGTAGATGGGTGGATGGGTGGATGGATGGATGGGTGACTGGATGGATGATGGATGATGGGTGGGTGGGTGGGTGGGTGGATGGGTGGGTAGGTGGGTGGGTGGGTGGGTGGATAGATGATGGGTGTGTGGGTGGGTAGATGGATGGATGATGGGTGGATGAGTGGGTGGGTGGATGGATGGGTAGTTGGATGGGTGGGTGGATGGATGATGAGTGGGTGGGTGGGTGGTTGGGTGGCTGGATAGATGATGGGTGGGTGGGTGGGTAGATGGATGGATGATGGGTGGGTGGGTGGGTGGATGGATAGATGGATGGATGATGGGTGGATGAGTGGGTGGGTGGATGGATGGATGGGTGGGTGGGTGGCTGGATGGATGATGGGTGGGTGGGTGGCTGGATGGACAGTTTGTTCTGGGACATCCAGTGCTGTAACCAGAGTTGCTCTTGTGCCTCTTTGGCTGTATGCATCCTGCATGTTATGTTTGCTCCTTGCCTCTGAATGAGATTTCCTTTTGTTTTACTGCAGAAAATGCAATTCAAGCCTTTGGCAATGGCTCAGATGTGACCATGTGGCAGCCAGCCCTCCCAGTACAGACCACCACTGCCACCACTACCACTGCCTTCCGAGTCAAGAGCAAGCCTCTGGGGCCAGCAGGGTCTGAGAATGAAATCCCCACACACGTTTTGCCACCTTGTGCAAATCTGCAGGTGAGAAGTGGATCTGACTTTCTCCTTAGAGCTGGCTTCTGGGAGAACATGCACTTATCGTCTGAAAGATACACAAGGACAGGCGGCAGGTGCCACCCATATGTGAATCATTTTTCAAAACAAAATCTTTGCATGTGCATGCGTGTTTATATGTTTGATGTGGCAGCCCCATGTGCATGAGGAAGTCAGAGTACAACCTCGGTGTCAGTCTTCTTCTGTGTGAGCCAGGTTAGTTACGAGCTTTGGGGATTATCTCTGCCTCCCGTCTCCTTGTAAGAGCCCTGGGATTCCAAATCCGTGTTACTGTATCTGGCTTTCCCTGGGTTCTGGGGATCTGTTCTCAGGTCTTCATGCAGGTATGGTGAACACTACCTGTTGAGCCGTCTCCCCAGCCCAGATTTGAATCTGGAAGTTGCGTTATAAACATCATAAGAGGAGACTGCGATGTCTCGTAGAGTGAAGGAAAGGATGGACTGTGGAACTGACTGCTACTCACTGAAGATGTGACTTTGGTCAAGGCTCTATAAAGTGAGGAGTCTGGGCAGATATACCACTAAGGATTTTTTGGGGGGGTGGTGGTTATAGAGTTGGATTGGCTGTCTATATTTTTGGCTGATTCCGTGTTCCTGATAAAGCCATAGCATATCAAAGAGAGAGTGTTCCTGGCTTGTTGCCATCACAGCCATTCAAACACAGCATGAAATGTTGACCTGTCTCTGAGGGGAGTCCAAGGCAGTGTTACTAGCTGCTGCGTAGAGTCCTGGAGAGGCTAGTTATTTACAAGGCAAAAAGCAAATGCTATTCCAGAGTAAGAGGAGTTGCACAGTACCGTGAAAAACCTTACATGTGCACAGAGGACAGTGAAAGTGATCAAGACGCTTCTTGAAGACCAACCCAGGTATGCCTGAGTTGAAGCAAAGTATAAACATGGCAGTTTTCCCCCTTCTGTCAGAGGGTGTGTTTGTTCTGACATTTTATTGAGTTTCCATAGTAGTGAGTATTCAACTGTCTACAAGACATTAGTGAGTTGGAAGTTTTCACAGGTTCTAATGCACTTGGGCTCCTTGGGTACTCTCCTGGTAGCTGATGGGGAAGGGCAATTACTGTGACATGGTGGTCTAGCTCTTGCATCTGAGGACCCAGGCTTCTAGAAAATGATGTTTCTACTCAAGTGTGCAGAGCTGGTGGGTCACCGAAGCAGTGCTGGGAATCCAAGAATGGCATCTGTCCATGGTTGTTCCTATATGCTGAGGGAAGAGGTAACTATATAGTGGCTTGTGGTAATACATGGTGCACCCCAATAAAACTTACCTGGGGATCAGAGGACAGAGCCAGCCACTAGACTAGACATAGAGGACAGACAGTGATGGCACACACCCTTAATCCTATCACCTAGGAGACAAAAATCCATCTGGATCTCTGTGAGTTCAAGGCCACACTGGGACCAGAGCCAGGCATGGTTGCACACACCTTTAGTCCCCACACTTGAGATCTCGTGCCTTTGCTTGGGAAGCACACATGCCTTTAATCCCAGGAAGTAAAATGGCAGGGCAGAGAAAGATATATAAGGCATGAGGAGACAGGAACTCGCGCTCTTTAGACTGAGGATTTCCTGGAGGTGAGGTAGTGTCAGCAGCAGTTCAGCTGAGTCCCTTTCGGGTGAGGACTGAGGCTTTCATTCTGAGGAAGCAGGATCGGCTGAGGAGTTGGCGAGGTGAGGCTAGCTGTGTGTGACTTGTTCTGTTTCTCTGATCTTTCAGCCTTCACCCCAATATCTGGCTCCAGTTTTTTGTTTTTTTTTTATTAATAAGACCATTTAGCGATTCGTGTTACATTCTGTTCTTCTGTCATGCCAGGAAAAGGGGTGGTTGGTCTATTGGCTGTTGTTTTGATTGTTACAGGGTCTCATGTGACCCTTACTGACCTTGAACTTGCTATGTAGATAAGGGGGCTTATCAGCATGTGCCACCAAGGGTGCATGCAGAGCTGAGGTGGAACCCAAGACTTTGTGTGTGTGTGTGTGTGTTACTCACAAGCCATTGTGACAGGCCCTCACTCGTAGCACAAAAGTGCCTCTCCTCTTCCTCCTCCCCGGCAAGGCTCAGCAGCTTTGGAGCATTCTTAGGAATGCCTTCTTCATCCACAGGCGCTGTGTCTGGAAAGTGTTGAGCAGTTTTCCCATCTACTTTGTATGACCCTGCTTTGCTCTCGGCGCCCTTCATCTGAGCTTTGGCTTCTGTCTGCTTAGTCCTTCTGGGTCCTCTTTCTCCAACACACAGTCTGAGACATACTCGTTCACACCAGACAGCAGGGAGAACTCAGATCACACAGCTCAACAGCAAGCCCAGTGTCCTTTGGATTTGTGAACCATTTTCTGAGCTTTAGCATCTCCAGGTCTCCCTCTGCAGAGAAAGTCAGAGCTGGGAGGCAGCACAGGGAGTGGTCAGTGGCATCTACTGCTCCGTTCTGCAGCAGGGCCCCAGTCTGAGAGAAGAGAAGGGATTGGTTGAGTCTCCCAGACTGGTGACTCTGACATTAGAAATGGCACGGTCAGTGTCTTCTCTGTTTCTGGTCAGGGCTCTGGCCCTGTCTCCCCCGCTTCCTGCTGCACACACAGTCAGCCTTGGCTCTCTCTGCCTCCCACCCTCAGATTCCAGTGTCAGTCAACACAGCCGCCAGATGAAGGATAAGAGCTTGCCGTCACACGCTGATGAAGATGGGCCAGGGATGCTTTCTGATCAGTGAGGAAGGGGACTTGGGCTTCGGCAAGATCATTCTGTACACATTTGGACACACAAAGGGTGACGCAGATGCCACCTACAGTCTGTTATTAACTTTCCTCTGACTTAAAAACTGGGTAGACCTGAATATTCAAGAACTAAAACAGAAAGTCACTCCTCAGTGAACAGAATCTCATGGGCAAGATGCAGCTTGCCCACAGTTTCAGAAGGTCAGATAGGGTAACTAGGTGACATCTCAGATTGGAAACCATGGCACTCCAGTTTCCTCATCCTTCGGGTGGAGACTCTCTTAGCCATAAAATGTGTCCTCTGCTTCTCCGTTCCTTTCCTTGTCTTATCTCAGCTCCTGACTTGGGTTCTTGTAGTGAACATCTTATCTCCAGTACAGATACACCCAACCAACCCTCCCTGCCAGGAGGACTCTGTACCACTGCACAGCTGTCCTGGCAACACTAAGGCACACCCGAGCCTCATTCCCCAGAAACCATGCCTTCCCATTCCCTGTGTTAGCATGGCACTTCTGCTTTGTAACCAGAGGAACAAAGGTAAAACTCAAGTGTGATGTTTATCTCAGGGTTGCCTCTGTTGGCTTCTCCACTAAAAGGGCTGAAAGAATTGGATTGGCCAGGACGGAGGGCAGTCACACCTCTCTTCTGAGATACATGGTAGAGTTTAGCAGCATTCGGCATCGGGGAGAAGAGGTCTCACTGAACCTGTCTTTACAATGGAGGTGTGAGATGAGGGTGTTAGCACTGTGGCCTTAGCCAATGTGCTAACTCCTTAAGCCTCCTCTTCCTTGTCTGGTAAGCATGAGTATTGTCTAGCTGTTAGAGTAGAGGCAGTGGCGCAGAATGGATGCTTCAGAATGATATGCAAAAACGACCATCGTGATGACTGATCCTTAGTCAGTTGGTCACGTGATCTGCCTGTTACAAAGATGAAAGGTGGTGCTGGGCCTTGCTCCAGAATGAGGGTCTGGGGTGTGCTGAGGAGCACTGATGTGAGACAGACATGGCAGGTGGATAGTAGTGCATTTCACACTTTCAAATACGTCTCCCTTCTATCCTCTTTCTCCTCAGAGCACCTCTGTGGGGCAGACATTGCAGGCATCCTTTGCTTTCACAAATGAGATGCTTAGAGGATAATGACTTAACTAAAATCAGCATGTCTTTGGCAGACTCGTCCCAAGGCTAGAGTGTCTTTTTGTCTCGTTTCGTGACACTTGGCCAACTAAGCCTTTCTGCATTAGGAATGGAAGTGAGGAAAGAAGGAAGGGGTAGCTTCCCTAGTTCCTGCTGAAGGTCAGCCCCAGGAATGCAGCGGCAAATCTAAAGTTCATACTTCACTCAGGGCTGCTCCTGGCTCCAGATCCAGGACACGGGGTTCCGACGACTGAAAGAAAGTTTGCCAGTGAAAGTTCTGTAGCTTGATGACCTCTTTAGGGTGACCTCCATGAAGAGTGCTGGAGGATAATTCGAGGCTGTAGTTGGAGGTTGATGACAGTGACAGTGGAGGGCTGTCACCCTGAGAACACGGTCCCTCTGGCTGATTTAGGGCTCTGCTCGGTGCAGGGCTCCCAGGAGGCTCATTCTCTACATCTGCCTTGCCTCTGTGCCTGCCTGGCTGTAGATGAATTACCGTTTGCCAGGGGGTCCTAGAAATATCTTCTAATGGTGTTTGTCCCTGCTGCCTGTGTCGAGACTCAGAATAGAACTGACTGGAACCAACTTGGGATCCATTGGTAACAGATCTGGAGACAGTCAAAGACTTTGGCAGCCGTAAAGTTCACTTCCTTCGAGACGCGCCCTCTTGTAATATTTTTAAATACACAATAACATGAGAAGACTTGGGGGGTACTGGAGAGTCTGCCTTAACATTTGAGATCGACTCCCCCGTGGGAGGAAAGGAAAAGAATAAACATTTTTTCAAAAGCATGCCTAGAACCAACAGCAGATCTGCCTGGGGAATGGGAGGCCCTGGGCATGGTGATCATGGGCTCATGGGGGCTGCTGTGGAAGGCTCTAAAAAAGTTGATTGATTAGTATAAAATGTCAAGGAAATGTCCCAAGTGCTGGCCCCCTGAGGTGACAAAATAATACTGGGTTTGGGGTAGCTTGCCAAGCTCCCATGGCAGGATTAATTGGCAGTCATACTAGTAACAAGTATGATGCAAGCCGTGCTATTGTTAGTCTATCTCTCTGACTCGTATGAAACGGTCACACGAGAAACAAAGAAACCTTAATAATTCCCCCAATTACT